AACAGTGGAAGCCATGGGCTGAGTGAGACAGGGCCTCATTGTGTGACATTTTTACTGCCAGTGAGGCTGAGCGTTGGCTTCGGTCCCTTTGCTTGGGAGTCGCCAGCCCCTCCTTCCTGTTGTTGGCCTGTACCGCAATTTTAACCATTGCTGATGGATTCAAGATAAAAATCCCCTGTTGTGCATTTTTCACAGCTTTCTATATACTTTCAATTTCTGTTTGTGCATAAGATGGACATTTTCTATCATGGAAACTCTAAAACCTTCCCGTTGTGGCTCAGAATGTCTCTCCCACAACAAAAGCAGAGCTCTCTGAATTGAGTAGTTTCCTCTGAACTTTGATCAGTCTGGGGCCCAATGACATTTGGCACAGGGCCAGTTGTGACAGAGTGAGGGGCCTCCTCTGGGCCCACAGGCAGCGGGGAGGTGAGTGGAAGGCCACAGAAGGCGTGGAGTGTCGGGTTTCCCTGCTGTGGACAGCGCTTCTCTGACTTGGAATCCCCTCCTTCCTCTATGCTCCTGATGCTCGGTGAGGGGGTGACAGGGTCCCTGGCCCTGACGCTCACAGACGGAGGCAGGTCCTCACTTTCCTTTATTTTTATTTTTTTAATTTCTATCTATCTATCTATTTATTTTTAAAAAATTTAAAAAATTTTTTTATTTATTTATGATAGTCACACACAGAGAAAGACAGAGGCAGAGACACAGAGACACAGGCAGAGGGAGAAGCAGGCTCCATGCACCGGGAACCCGACAAGGGATTCGATCCCGAGTCTCCAGGATCGCGCCCTGGGCCAAAGGCAGGTGCCAAACCGCTGCGCCACCCGGGGATCCCTATCTATCTATTTATTTATTTATAGGCCCCAATCAGCAGCTTGACACACCTTGCATGTGACATGAAATTGGAAAGATGGGTCCTTATTTATTATTATTTTTATTTTTTAAAGGTTTTATTTATTTATTCATGAGCCACCCAGGTGCTCCCTGATTGCTGTAGATTTGGCAAGCTGGATTTTTCCAATCAATCCACCATCATTTCCTTTCCTAGAACCTGACCGCCAGCCCTACCTGCTGGTGGACTGGAAGGACAGGACCGCTCTGCCCTTGGGAACAGGCGCAAGTGGTTGAAGACATGCCCAGTTTCTGCCCCTGCCCCGACCGGCAGACCTACTTCCACCTGTTCGAACGTTAGTCAGTGAAGTCGATGGGGTTGCGATGTGCCTTGATTTTAAAAATTAACAACATGGCTTAGAGGTGCTTTAATTTCAGAACCAAAAATACATCTGGTTCTTTAAAGGTTGCGACCGGGGCTGCGGCTCATCTGCTTCTCCCTCAGTTGGTATTTAATGTGCTGCCAGCTTTTTGTCATCACAGCTCGATGGATCGTCTACATACCCCTTCGCTCCCAAATCAGTATTTCTGTTGGATGATTCCTAAGAGAGCAATTTCTGGAAAAAGGAGAAATGCCTGCATGTTTGAAATTTCGGTTCTACTAACAAATTGCTGCCTTCCCCTTCTCCCAAAGGTTGCATCAGCTCATATGGTGGCATAAGCTCATTTCTCCACAAACACAAACTTTCAGCCAGCATGGACATCTTTGTCACTTCCCAGAATATTCTGGAGATGAGCGACTTTTCACTCACTCAGTGGTCAGATGCGTTTTCTCACCTGTAAACTGCCTCCTCATGTCTTTTGCTCTTTTATATGTTAGGATGTGTCTATTTCATATTAATTTGGGGACATTATAGATCCTAGATATTAACTTTTGCTTGTTACACTATTGTAAATATTTCCTCCTTTTTATCATTTGCTGTTTTTACGTTTTATTCTCAGTTCGTGTTTGCTATGCAAATATTTTTACTTTCAAAGAATTTAAGATCTATAAATATTTGTCCAAGCCAGCCTATTCTAAGGGTACCCACAAGAACCTCTTATCTTCTCTAAATAGTTTTAAAATTTCTTTCTCTTGCCCCACTCTCGGGTCCATCTGCCTCTGTGTGGCTCTCTCTGCCTGTCCCTGCGGCTCCCTCTCTTCACGTTCCAAATGGGTAGGATATTGTCCCCATGCTGCAGATTTGGGGCACTGGCTTGAAACCTCATGCTTATCCTTGCATTACATCCACACACACACTGGCATCTGTCTTCTGTTTGTCTGTTTGTCCTGCTGCCGGCACTACAAGGTGGAAGTATCTCCAGCATTACTCTAGTTTGGATGCCTGCCGAAGTTCCTTGCTTATTTTCCTTTTCTCTTTTTTCCCTAGGATTACACATTTAATCATCCAGGTGAGTGGGGCCTGCACATAAATCCTGCTGGGAAAGTATTTGGAATGTCTTTCAATTCAAAGGTTGGGGACACAGACAAGTCTGCTGCCAAAAGAACATGCTTGTCGTGCAGGAGCTTGAGTGATCGCTTGTTTTTATTTGTCAGACTCTTCATTAAATGTCATAACGAGTTATTCTAGATAAATCACAACTATTTCTAGCATGACTGGGATTTAAAAATCTTAGTGTTCAAGTGCTTATTGCTGGTCAGAGGAAAGCTTGGGATTTTTGTTTGCTGTTCCTACTAAGTGAACATGAGGTGTACGTTTGGATGACTCTACACCTGTGTGGGTGTCCGGATGCAGATAAGTGCATACGTAGGAATGCACACACATATGTCTGTGCGTATGCGTGTTTCTGAACAGGAGAGGCTCGGGCATGTTTGCAAGTCAGTGGGAGTTCTCCAGGCTAGAGGCCAGGGTTAAGTGCCCGGGGCATGCTTGCAGCTGTGGAGACCCCGGGAGGCCACACGGCAGGGCCACCTCGCGTCCTTGCGGGCCAGATGGGACTTGGGCGGAATTGTAGGGTTTGCGGGATTCCAATGGCTACGTCTCACTTACAGAGAGTGTTTCTTGGACTCTTTAATTTTTCAGAGTTCACTATTCAGAGCTGTAGGTCAGGTAATTAATTTTCAGCTCCCTGAGGGCAAAGTCCATGAGGGAATGAGGCCGTCAGTGGGCTCAGGGCTCTGGAGTGGGATGGGACACTCTCCACTTCCTTTGTTGTTACTTTTACATTCCATTCAGTCTCCAGGTGCGTGGTGACAGGCATTCTCCATCTTACTGGCCCTTCACATCCATCTAAGGGCGGTGGACACTAGCTTTTTTGCATGATGAAGTTAGGAAGCAAAAAAAAAAAAAAAAACAAAAAAAAAAAAAAAAAAAGAAGTTAGGAAGCAGTGCCTGAGACCCCGTGGGGCTCGCTGATTCTCTAGAAGGGCCCCCGGAGCTCACGGAGCCGTAGTGCTCAGGGTGACGGTGTACCGCAGGGAGAGGACCCAGACCCCCAGCACCCAGGGGAAGGGCGCCCAGGGCAGGGCCCCGCAGGATCCGGACCGCTCTCTCCCCGCGGAGTCGTGGGCAGCGTGGGTTCCCCTGGCGGCGCGGTGGCAGTGCGCACCAGTGTGGCCGCCTGGGAAGCCCCCAGCCCCGGTGTCCCAGGTCTTCGTGGGGCTTCCCTCGCGTGGACCTGGTTGGCTGCCTGCGTGGCTGACCTCAGCGTCCAGCTCCTCGGGAGGCCAAGCCCATGCCGTGTGGCCCAGAGCCCCAGGGAAGCAAGGACACCGGACTCAGGGCGTCCACGGGCTCGGCGGCGACCCCCCTGAAGCCGAGGGTAGAGGCCGGGCCTCCCTGGGACAAGATTAATTTTTTTACTCGCAGGACTGGGCCTTCCTGCTCCTGCCGAGCACAAGCAGCCCCTTGTCCTCATCCTGGCACAGGTGCCCATGAGAACCTGGCAAGTCTTCGCTTGGAGTTCATTGAGACCATCACTCCTCCTGTATGACGGCCTGGATGTGTCCTTCCCAAATTCAGATACCGAAGTACTAACCCTCAGGACGTCAGAAGCTGACTGTATTTGGAGATGGGCCTTTAAAGAGATGATTACGGTAACTGGGGTCCTATGGGTGGCCCCAAACCTATATAATTGGTGTCCTTACAAGAAGGGAAAATGAGAGCACAGACACAGCCAGGAGGACGGCCACATGAGGACAGAGGAGGAGACACCAGCCGCACATGAGGGAGAGGCCTCGGGGTGCCTCGGACTTTCAGCCTCCAGAACCAGGAGACCACAAATCCGTGTGCAAGCTGCCTGGTCGGCGGTACTTTGTCACAGCAGCCTGAGCAGATCAGCACTCAGACTCTCCCCGGGGCCCTTCAGCACACAGGACAGTAACAGTGGTGGCTGATTTGCAGAGGCTGTTTCAGGACCAAAGGAGAAAAGGAGGCGAGACCTCCCCTTCCCCATCCCCTGGATGAGTGACTTCTCCCCCCACGGTTAGTAAGCTCCCTGGGAAGAACCCCAGCTCTCCTTGCTGTGCAGGGGGCCATGAAGGATACCCTCCTGCCTCCACAGCCACCCTCTCTGCCGGCCCGACTCTGGGGCCTGGGGACGCAATGTGCCTGGGATTGCAGGTGCTCCCACTGGCCGCCAAGGAACTGCAGCCAAAGCCCTGGGACTTCACCCCCACTGGCTCGGAAGGAGGAGGAGGAGGAGGAGGAGGAGGAGGTGGCTACCAGGCCACTGGGCTCTGGCTGGCCCAAATCCTGGCTCCCTGGACCATGGCCTCCTTGTCTCCAGAGGGCACCCATGTCACTCCTGGCTGAGCCTCCCAAGCACTTCCTGTCCGCCTGCCTTGGTGCCACACAAATTACACACTTTTTGGTTTTGTTTAACGGTTTCATAAGGCGGAAGGAGTTACCCGCCCAGAGACCTTGGAACCCCAGCACAGAAGACACTTCTCCTCCTGTGCTCTGAGGTCGTGGCGGGGCCCACAGCTGAGTTTCAGGTTTGGTTCCCTTGAAGCAGATGCTGAGGCAGGACTGACATGCATGAACTTTATTCCAGAGCTACTCCTGGGGAAGCGGGGGGGGCGCGGGCAGGGGGTTGGACAGGGACAAGCGGTGCCGCAGGAAGGGGACGCTGCGGGTGGAGCCCCAGCCTGGCCAGTGGCTCTGGGCTGGAAGTCAGGCCTTGGGTTCACACTCCACCCAGGACGACGGGAAGTCTCTGCACAGCTGGGGGAGCAGCTCCCCGTGGACCGTGGTAGGCCTGGCACCGATGGCTGAAGGCCCCGGGCAGGACACCCAGAAAAAGCCAAAGACTCCAGGAGTTTCTCTGCATCGGTGTGCTGGGGTGGGGTGCCTCTGTTGGCCTTGAAGATCTGGGGCGAATGGGCGTGGTCCTCTGTGACCACCCCACCAGGCCCTCCACCTCCTCTGTACTCTGTCCTCAATTTACGAGCTCACAGACAGCCTGATGGGGACAGGGGCTTAGGGGTCTGGGTGTCCTGGGTTGTGCTGCCTCACTCATGTCCCGCACCTCTGGGTCACAGGGAGGCCCCTAGGAGGGTGACAAGGACACTGGCCACAAGCATCAGGCCCACGGTGGTGGCCCCTGGCCCTTGGCCTCCAGCTCGGTTACACAGGTTGGTGCTGCAACAATGGATGGAGGCATGTAGATCGCTGACTAAAGCTCTGGATGAAGCACGGGATGGCATGGGATTGAGGTTCTCGCACGATTGCACACAGGTCTTGATTGCCATGGCCAACGTCTGGTCTGGTAGTTTGATATCTGTCACATGGAAGAAACATCCAGAGGCTGTGGGTCACTGACTGTGACTGGAACCTTTCTCCTGACCCCAGAATGGACTTATCTTAGAGTCCTGAGAGCCCATGGACCTCTCCCCCTTGGCACCTACCCCAGCAGTGCCCAGGGAACCGTGCTGGCTGCAGCGCCCCTGGCTGGAGCCCTTGCGGCCAGGGTCTGGCTCACACTTTGAAGCCACACTTGGAGTCACAGGAAATCCCCCTGGGGATTTTTTCTAACTTCAGGCTTTTTGTGTAGAGTGAGACTTGTCACACCTCTTGGGCTGTGGTAGTAGCCCACCCTGTCCTTCGCCCCCACCCCTGCCGAGGTCTTCGAGTCCCACCGCACCCTCTTAACTTCTAGGAAGACAGAGCCTGGACTCACTCAGCAATTGTGAAGCGCAGGCGTTCGCGTAGCTGGGGCAGTCTACAGGTCCTGAGCAGGTGTTCCCGTTAGAGTTCGTGCAGTTGTGGCATCTTATGGCCCAGGCTGGGGAGGGTAAGAGGTCCGCGTCAGCCCCCGAGTGTGCCGAAGCCCCAGGGCCAGGCCGTGGCAGGAAGAGAGGCAGGTCCCAATCTGCCGTTCAGGGCCCGGGAGCTAGGAGACACTTGGGTGCAGAATCAAGGTGCTCCTGGGAGGAGGGGCAGGTGAGGGAGGGCCAGGGAGGTCAGGAGAGGCCCCTGGAGGAGGAAATCGGGTGGGCCAAGGAAAGGGTCAGAAAGTGAAGCAGAAGACACACGGCAGGGGGTGGGAGAGACAAGGCTGGGTAGAGGTGTTCCCTCCGGCCCCCCGGGTCTCACCTCCACCTGAGCACAGCAGTACCACCAGCAGAGCAGCAGCCTTCATCCTGGCACCTGGCACCTCCCAGAGAGCTCCGGGCTGGGCTGGGCTGGCCTTATGTAGCTGGCACTCTCCTCAGTGGGCTCCGGGGCTCAGCCCACCTCCCCCTCCACTGGCCAGTCAGTCACCTCTGTCCTGGACACGCCTCCCAGCTCCCCCTGCCAGCCGCACCCACATCGGAGGAGGCTCAGCAAGTCATGTAGGCAGCACCTGGCAGGCCCCTCAAGTCTCCCACCAAGGGCAGAGGCAAGGGGGCCTGGACTCACTAGGTCCTTCTGGGGTCTTTGGGGCAAAGGTGGTTGAGAGGAGGCAGCAGCCCCGAGCGCCTCTCAGAACGCGGAGGGTGTGAAGTCTCCGTGTTGATCTTACCCCAACAGTCTCGCGTCTGTCCACGAGACGCACATGCCGTAGAGCGGGCTTGAGCACGGGTGCTCAGAGAGGTTGCACCCCGCTCTTCGGTGGCTTCGGAGACCAGGGTCCCTTAGGCAGACACCCCCGGAGCTCGAGGAGCAGAGGCGCCCATGGGGCCTGGGCGCCGAGCTCGCTGGCTCTGTAAACCCGTAGGCGGCTGCCAAGGGGACCGGGGGTCCAAAGCCTCACTACCCGGAGCTCAGGGACGTGGGGCTTCGGGCCCCGTGGGCAAATGGAGGGAGCAGCAAGGGGAAGCCGCAGAGTGGCAGTCGGCTGCGCGGGGAGAGACGAGCTTGCCACACGCGCTGGGACGACAGCCAAGGGGATTGAGAGTGACCCTGGGTCCCCCGGCAGGGGGGCAGACTGGAGGTGAGAGCAGCAGAACAGAGGGACCCCAGGAGAGGCTATTGGGGTAGATTGGCTGGTTTTTTTGGCTTAAGAGCCATGAGAGGAAAAAGTGGAGGGGCCACCATGGGGGCTGCAGGCCAGAGGGCTTTGTTCAAGGACACCTGCGTAATAAGGCCATAACTTGTGTTTATGGAGGCCTCACCTCTGAATATCCTCCTTGTATCTTAAAAAAAAAAAAATCATGCTAAAATATACAGGGCCCTGGGTGGCTCCGCCCACTAAGTGTCTGCCTTGGACTATGGACTCAGGTCACATGACCCCAGGGTCCTGGGATCGAGGGGGCTGGGGCTCCTGTCGGGTGGGAGCCTGCTCCTCCCTCCTGCTCTCCCTGTGTCCACAGCTCCCCCTGCTGGTGCTTGCTTGCTCTCTTTCTCTCTCTGTCAAATTAATAAATAAAATATTTTTAAAAATTGTGTTAAAATACACATAACATAAAATTGACCATTTTAAGCATTTTGAAGTATGTGGTCTTGGGGCACTAAGCCTATTCACACTGCCAAGCCCCCTTTGCCCTGGAACACCTCCGGACCCTCCCGTCTTGGGCACTGTCCCTCTGTCTCCCTCAAGCACGAACTCCTTGCCCCCCACCCCCAGCCCCTGGCTCCCCTCGTCCACTTTCTGTCCGCCTCTGTGAACGGGACGACAGCTGGTGCTTCACGGAGTGGACTCCTGGAGGATTTGTTTTTTGGTGGATGGCTTATTTTCATTTATTTTTTCAAGGTTCATTCATGTTGAAGCAGGTGTCAGCATTTCCTTCCTTTTTTTAAAAAAATATTTTATTTACTTATTCATGAAAGACACGGGGAGAGAGGCAGAGACACAGGCAGAGGGAGAGGCAGGCTCCCTATGGGGAGCCCGATGCGGGACTCGATCCGGGATCATGGGATCAGGACCTGAGCCCAAGACAGACGCCCAGCCGCTGAGCCACCCAGGCGTCTTTCCATTTCCTTCCTTTTTAAGGCTGAAGAGTGTCTACGAAATGCACAGACCACATTTTGCTCCGCCATCCGTAGGCCCTGGGGTTGCTTCCATGTTCAGCTAGGCCGTCGGTGTGCAAATCTCTCTTGGAGACCCTGCTTTGGGCTGTTTCGGGTATGTGCCTGGAAGAGGAATTACTGCAACCTAAGGTCATTCTGTGTCTGATTTTCTTTTCATTTTGTGTGTGTGTGTCTAGTTTTCTTGAGGAGCCTCCATAGGGTTGTCCACAGCTGCGGGATGGTTTCTCATCCCCACCAGCCCCGCCCTTGGGGCCTGGTTTCTCCACTTCCTCGCCAGCACTTGTTATTTTATTTAAGGGCAGCCATCCCAATGGGTGTGGCCGGTCCCTCTTCATAGCTTGATAGCTCTCCACGCTGTGGGGCGCCTTGTCCCGTGGACTTCCCAGCCCCCCTGCTGCAGTGGGTGGCCAGGTGACCCTGCTCCACTAGTCAGAAGTGCCGGGGACACTGGACGGAGACGGGGCACCCAAGCCAGCTCCAGGCTGGCTCCAGACGAGAGTGGCCTGCGGCTTTGTCCGAGTGCCCCAAGGGCGCCTGCACATTGTTTCTCGAGACCCCCGAAGCCCGTGCCAGCGGCGCTTGAGCAGCACGGTGATGCAGCCGCACTGAATTTCCTTTGAAAGCAACCCACACGGGTTAACCGTGTGCAGTGAAAGGCCACGGTCTGCGCGGGTTTGTCCCGGAGCGGCGCTCGGACCTCTGCGGCCGCCTCTGCTCCCCTCTCCTTCCTGGCCGTGCCGTGTCGCCTCTGGGGACAGGGACAGGCCTGGCTCCCCGTCCTCATGGCTGGCCTCGTGGGCGGTGGAAGTGGGACGCGTGGCTCCGTGTTGGCCGCGGAGGATGAGCCCTCGCTGCCTCTGCTCCCCTGCCCGGCTTCGGAGCTCCTGTCCCAGCAGGAAGTGTGCGCTGGGCTGGGCCTTACCGTCAGCTTCCACTCCATTCCGGAACCTTTCCAGGTGTGTTATATAAAATGACACCTAATTAAGGCTTAATTACCGCATTCTTCTGTACCCAAGGGTGTAGATGTAGATGAGGCCAGTGACTTACTCAAGATATAAAACCTAATGGTGATAAAGGATTGAACTTTGGGACAATGGCTGACTCATTCAGCACCCCCCCCCCCCAAGGTGAGGTGTGGGTGGGGTCGGGTCAGGAAGGTCAGTCAGGATCCGGTAGGGAGGAAACAATAAAACAAGACAAAACCCAGGGGGCCCGAAGGCTGAACGTGGCTGTGTGGGTGGCACGGGGTGGGGGGCCTAGAGGGATGACGGGGCTTCCTGAGGGCAAGTGGGGTTTGGGGTTTGGGAGAAAAAGATCGGCAGATGGCAGGTTCCCAGATGAGGTCTTGGGATGCGGTTGCTGGATCCCAGCGGAGGGGAGACCATCAGATGAGGTCAGGACCTGGGTGGTGGGGGCCGAGGCTCCTGGGGAAGAGCGATCAGGTGGGAACGCAATGCACGTGTAGGATGGCACATGCAGGAGCTTCGGGGCGATGGCTGCCTGTGAGGAGCCTGTCACACGCCTTTACGGACAGCAGCGCGTGACTCCTGCGCCACTGCCTCACCGTGTCAGCCGGAAGCAAAGCACCATCCCGCGGGCTCTCGGGCCCCCCAGCTGCTCCCACTGCCCACTAGCCAGATGGCTCCCGTAGAAGTCCCAGAAGCCGAGAGAGTCCCTGAAGCTCCACTCTTCTCGGTTTCCCTGTCCTTGAGGCCCTGAGGGAGGGTGGGTGGGGTGCCCGCCAGGGCTGGTCAGGCAGGCAGGGCCCTTGCCAGCTCTGAGAAGCGAAGTTCTTGCTCCCTCACAAAGGCCGTGCCACAAAGGTCACTGACAATGCCCCCCCCCCCCCCGATCGCTCCAGGTGGGCCCCGTGGCCAGCTTCCCACTGCCTACCAGCACCCGGCCCCTCTCGTCTGCCCAAGGACGCTTCTGGAATCTCTCCTCTCTCTTCTGCACTGCAGCTGCCCCCTTGGTAGAGCATTGCCCCCACTGGCGGATCAACGTGCTGGATGACGCCCTTCTTTTCCTGATCTTTCATATCCTGTCCAGCTATCCCTCCACCCGCCCGTTTGTCTACTTCCTTTTGGAGCAAAATGCCAGTGAATCTTCTCTACTGTTGCTACGTCTTCTCCTCTTAAAGCTGCTCTAGAAGAGTTTGCAGCCCATCATGCCACCAACACGACTTGGTTCATGTTCGCCTGTGACTTCCCAGGGGTCCATTTCAAGTCTCAGTCCCCTCAGCGCTTCCTTCCTAACCTCACTCAACGCCCCGTCCCTCCCCCCTGCTTGGAGACCCCCCCCCCCCGCCCCCGCCTGCTCCGAGTGCCCCTTGGCTTGGTTTATGGGCCCTCCATCATCTGTCACTGAATTCCTGGGTGGCTCCTCTGTCTGTGGCTTCACGTGTCTTTGTAAAAATACATTTCCATCTCCTGCTTCCTTGTTAAGGAAAAAAAAATCAAAACTTGGAAATTGAGTGAGAAGATGGTGACTTGATCTCAGAGAGGCTCGTGACATCCTCAGCTGAGCTAGCACGCCCTGTGGTGCTCCCGGGCGCCACTGGGCCCTCGGCGCACACACCCCGGACGCATCCCTTGCCCAGTCATCAGTGTGCTGCCTCTGACTAGCACGTAAACTCCATGCAGAAAAGGTCTGCTTCGGAATCTGCTCTGTACCCAAACCTACAGGAATACTTGGTGAATGGTAGGTGCTCAGTAAATGCATTTTCAGTGCTGAGATGAGCTGCTGTTTGTGCAGCTTCTAAAACACCATCAGTGGTGACGTCCTTTGGAGAATAGCATGTGCAAGAGGCCTCAGACGGAGACAGCAGGAAACTCAACCGAGCAGCTGAGGCTTCTTGGGCCTGGTGCTGCTGATCTCGTGGGTCCAAGGCATTGTCCTGTATTGGCTCTTGTCTCCATAAAGAAAAAGTAACAATGAATTTAATTAATTTTTTTAAACCAAGGCTCAGGGACTTTCGCTTATTATTATTTTTAAAGATTTTATTTATGTGACAGAGAGAGAGCAAGAGGGAGAGCATGAGCAGGGGCAGCGGCAGAGGAGGAGGGAGAAGCCGACTCCCCACTAAGCAGGGAGCCCAGGGTGGGACTGGATCCCAGGACCCCAGGATCATGATCTGAGCCAAAGGTAGATGCTCCACTGATTGAGCCACCCCCACCCCCACACCGCTTGTTTTATG